CCAGGTACCGCTCTCTGGGAACCATATTAGGAACTGTGCAGGGGGCGGTAACATTTGTGTTGGCGCGGGAGCTGGATGCGCTTCTCTTGAGATACCCTTGCTTGTACCTGTGCAATACGCTGCAATTAGACAGATTGTTTGGAGCGTGCGTGCGTGTTGTCAGCCTGTCGTCGTTACGCAGCGCATGCTCGACGTTGTACAAGGCGTCTGGCAATCGACGGTGATCTGTGCGATATTAACCCGTGACACGCTGGCGCAGCCATTGAGCCGGCCAGTCGGGCGGCCTGGTAGTAACGCCATAACGCATATTCCAGAAGCAAGTATATTTGATGCGGAGGCTTAATCAGGCAAATGTGATGGAGAGCATCTGTCGACTCCGCGAGCCGGGCACGTTGGCCAGCGGTGTGTCGCACGCTAAGCATCGTGGCTCCGCTGACGGTGTGTTCCTGGCGGCCACGGGCCTGAAACAGCGGACGGCAAGGTGGAGAGAAGCGGGGAGGAGGCCTGTCTGCACTACCTGACTCAACCAACGACCGCACGCGGGCCTGGCGTGCTCTCGGATACATCAGCCACGGTTCTACTAGGGCCCAGGTGTGAGGTGGAGAGCAGAGAGTGCGTCGCTGGCGGCGCGTTAGCCTGCAGCTGCAGCATCCCGCGACACGAATATGCAGCCGCCCCAAGTGCGAGCGACAGTCGTACGCTGCTGAGCCCACTGATTGTTTCTATCCCCCAGCGGCCGTCCTGTTGGACCTCATATAATTCCTTCTTCTTCGGACTTTCGCTTGCTGCTGTTCGGATAGCCCTCCGGTCGATCCTCGAGAACAAAGCACACCAGCATTGCTCAACCAAACGTTCACGACCAAGTGCCCGCCGCACCGCCCGGCCACGGCGTCAGGGCCGCCATTCGCAGCGTCGTCCGCGCAAACCACGCCCCCATGTGCCTGAAGCCAAACGTTGCGCCATCGCCGACGTCGAGATCCGAGCCGAAGCCATGAAGAGCAAAGCCAAAGGGACTATTCTGCCTCTGCGGCAGGCCGAATTCGACGCCCTGCCGTATTCAGTCCAGTAAGTAATATTCCGCGCTCCTGAGTGGTCGGGACGTGTGATAAGGGCGCGTTATGCGCGTGCATATACCGAATCCCCCACCATGACTTTTTGTGTACCTTGCAGTAGATGAAGGGCCTGTCAATTATGCCATGATGCCAATGCTAATTCGTCCCGCTACAGGAGAAAGTACTTTTCATCCCTGGAGCGTTTGCAGATCGCCCAGCACGCCTCCGACGAGCCTACTACATCAGGCCGCTCGTCCCAGGCCAGCACCGCTTCCAAATCCCACCGGCCCTCGCTATCTCTCGGCACCGGACGACGCAGACGCAAATCCGAAAAGGCTGTGCACGCTCACGACATTTCCCACATTGACCTTGACTTCTTTCTCTCCTTGCCTGAAAAGGTCCGCAAGCAGCATTTCTCCCGCGAAGAGCAGGCCCTCCTCCAAGGCAGGCACGAACAGGCGTTCCTTCCCGACGACCAGGATCCCGAGTGGGCACAACAACGCTTCAACGATTTTCACTTCGACTTCTCCCACTCGACGCTCGACCTTCCGGAACGCGGCCGTTCACGACGTCGTTCATCTTCGGCCTCTTCGACCGTCAGCCCTTCCCGCCCTACTTTCGGGCCTTCTAGTACATCAAACACGGACAAGGACCGAAACACCCATTTACTATATCTCGATACAATGGCCACGCCCATCTTCCACCGGAGGGAAACCTCAACGGCAGACATGAGACGAACCATGTCCCTCACGTCGCACCCTGTCCGCCTTGGATCTTCATACATGGCGGATCCTCCACTCTTCAATGCTCGGCCGAATCGACTTCACCAGCGTGCCCACTCTTCTTCTCTTACAGGCCACATATCGCCGTCTACGCCGCCAACTCTCATGATCGACCCCGAAGCGACACACTACCAGGACCCAGAGGCGAGGAAAAAGCTGCGCATGTATCTTGCGTCTCCCCAAAAATTCGATGAAGCAATTGAATTTGGCTTCCCATCGTCCGCTGGAAGCGACGCCGCTACACCCCACTTCCAGCTACCACAGATAGACAATCATGCTCGCAAATTCAGCCGAGACATGCACACATTCCTTAGGGACGGACAGCTGTCGTTCTTCGAAGACCATCCAAAAGAGAACCAGGGTCTGGAATCTGATGCCGGCTCTGTAGCCGACATGGACTCACCTGCCACGCCCTCCAGCACCGGCCTGTCTTTCCGCATGCACTCTCGCCAAATCTCGCACCGCAAGTTCTCGGTTGATTCGCCGGCTCCGTCACCTGTCCACTCCGCCAATGGGCATTTTAATCGCGAGATGACGCTCCGTATGACCTTGACCCGGCCCGATTTACGAGCTGACGAAGATCAACTGTATGGCTGGCAAGGCTCAGGCTCAAGCTCAAGCCCCAAAACCTCGAAAGACGATCCTCTGGCACTGGAAGACCTTGTCTTCACTGACGACATGACCGGTACCAAGGGCGCCTTCTACGTCAAGCCCAAACCGCGTGGAAACCTCGTGAGCCGCCTACTGAAGCGTGCCAGCCTCAAGGCCACCAGTCGCTGATCCCCATTTCAGCTTGCATCTATTAATTCACTTCTCACATTGTACTTTTTGCCTGTCTTTCCTAATAAAGACCAACAACAGGTCTGCTGCGTTTCAGCGAGCGACTTTTATTTCCTTGTCCAACCATTTTCTAGACATTTACGGGGGTTTACGAAAGCTCATCAGACTGTACGATTATCACGATGCACGAACCGAACGATTCAGATGCATGAATGAGGCGTTTTCCTTTCATCTCCCATGTCCAGCTACCCTGCTGGTATTTCTTCATACTTAGCTAGCCAAGAACTTCATCGAGAATGATACCCAGTCGGCAGCAACCAAAACTGGTCTGTCGCTTTGATACCACCACCTTCGCCTCATCCTTGTCGATAGCATTGTTTCCGCGTATTTCCTATTACATCAAGCAACAACGGTTACTCATCGCAATTGCCGATACAGTCCAGCGTCTCAACTGACAGCACCTGACTTTTGCCGAAGGAGTGATCGCCCCCAGCGATCATGACTAGGTCCTCGTACTCTCTACCGGAGCTTTACCTACCCGTTCACACTACCCGTCTTATCTCTCCACATGTTTCGCCAAAGAACCACACTAACCATATTATCCGCAGCGGAGAGATCTATATCGCATAGATGTTAAGGGTAGGGATGGCTGTATGACGTTGCCGTTTTCATCCAGTGGCTAGGCAAAGATCAACATTACAGTACTCGTACAGTTTGCATGCAGTAGCTGATACTAGGCGTTGTATGCGTTTGGTGGTGCTGGGTGAATGTGTTTCGGTGGCGAGGTAAGATGCATGAGAAAGAGGGTTATTGGGCAGCTAGGTTGAGGTTGAGTATATGTGAAAGCATTGGTCGATCCAACGCATCAACACATCACACAACATATTCCACCAACCATCTTCCCCATCTTCCCTCTTTTCTCCTCCACCCCTCCACCTGCAGTCAACAATGACGTGCCCACTACACTTTCCGCAAAAATACAGCGAACATCCCATCAGCCACTGCAACATGAAACACCCACTCAACTCTTATCCTCCACCAGCTCCCCCAACTCCACCACCGCATTCCGGTGAAGCTCCACCTGCCCACCCGGCTCTAGATTCCTAATGGGTTCCCTTGCCGAATAAGTCTGACTTACCTGTACGCAGTTCCTGGTACACTAACCCACTAGATGCCGAACCGAACTGCTCCAATCTTCACGGTACGCTACGTTTCAGCTTGCGCTAGATTTTTCTTCACTCCCACAGGGCTCGATCTTGCGTTCGCAGCGGATAGCGCGCGCGTACAGTCAATCGGGTCATGTGTGTGGCGGGGTCTGGATTCATTGAGTGGATTTCTTGGGTCGGTGACGCATATGCGTGAGGTGACGATGTTGTTTACATTGTGTGCTGGGTTTTGCTCGTGTGGCACTGCAGGTCGTTGTTGTGGCGTTGGCTGATCGACGGGAAAAGAAAGTTAGGGAAAAAGGTACGGCATATGCATGTCATTGTCCTGTGATGCGAAAGTGAGAGGAATGCCGTTAGATTGCATACGGCGGCTGGGAGGTGGTGTTTTCCGGGGTTCTTTACTTTTTTTTCGCGCCTTTGTTTATTACGCGCGCGTAGTGTAGCCGGAGTCGGATATAAGATTTATTGAAGGTGCTGATGATGGATGTTCTGCTAGTCAGCATACCTGTGTATGAGTTCCGTGGCCGCAGCTAAAAAGTGATGTTGCTGCAGATACGCTGTCCGTCGGCGTTCCCGAGGTCAGGATTCACATCATGGCTGGGTGATAAGCGGCTACAGCAAGATTACAAAACCGATCGTCTGCTTGCATTGAAACGGTTTTCATGTTGTGATCTTCTGCAATGTTAGGTGCACGACAAAGTCGTTAGGCCAGGGTGCTCGCGTTATCGTGGTGAGGCATCACACACATACACTACTCATGAACACGGCACGGAAACACTGCGTCTACATGCTGACGGCCGGATAACCTATGCGGGCGAAAGATCAGCCCGAAAAGCAATTGCTTCGTCACGCGCGCGGATAGTCGCATTCGCATTTCTCCATTTTCCAAACGAGTCAAGTCGAAAACAGTGCTCATTTCAGGTGCATACCCCAGGATCAAGGTGGTCCGAATTCGGCATCTGGAAGAAGAAAAGTGATCCACGGCTTATCCTTTCTGGACACTTTGCAGAGAACGACGTGTCCCGCTACTGCAGTCCCATGCTCCCCCACGTGCAGGTTTTAATTGCACCGTTCATGCATTGAACGCAATATACGCGTAACCTTCACATGCAATGTCATGACATTCCAAACACTTATTTGGCATCAACAGTTGTTCGAATTTTTTCATTACTCGTGGTATCCTGCGTCTTTCGCTGCCAAGTCAATCCATTTGCAGTTCTTTACCTCGACAAGGCGATGTCGTCAATTCGCAGAATCATCTTGACGGTCTCGGCTGCAAGCTCGATAGCGCTGGTGCTGACCAGCAGTGGCTGCAGTACGTTCTCCTCGCTGATGTCGTTCTTGACACCCCCGCTCTTGATGCTGATACCAGCATTCTTCTGCTCCTGTGCATGCCTATGCCTTAGCTCTGTGACGACCTTGATGCTGTTCAGACCGGCGTTTTCCGCCAATGTTGTCGGAATGACCTCCATGGCATCGGCGAAAGCTTTCCAGCAAATGGATTCAGTGCCGGAGAGCTCACGAGCCTTGAGTGACAGCTGATGCGCAATCTCAATCTCCGGGGCACCGCCACCAGCAAGTAGCGCCTTCTTCTTGACCAACGAGCGGATGGCGCAGTGAGCGTCGTGTAGAGATCTCTCGGTCTCATCCAGAATGAGGTTGTTAGCACCGCGGCAGACGATGGAGACAGTGTTGGCTGCTGACTTGACACCCGAAACCTTGACGTATCGTGCGCCTGATGCCTGTACCTCCTCGACAAGGTCTGCCGAACCAAGTTTGTCTTCTGTGAATGAGTCGATATCGGCAATAGGCTTGCAGCCAGTGCTCTACTGTGCATTAGCTTCGTTACATGTGAATCACTTCTCTTACGCACCTTGCAAATGAACTCAATCTCGTCACGCTCAATGTCCTTGATGACCAGGATCTTCAGCTTAGACAAGAAGTGCAGACTGAGGTCGTTGACTGCGTCTCGGAGGATAGACTTTTGGATGAAGAGAACGTTGCACTTGGCTTTCTGAATCTTCTTGACCATGTTCAGCAGGTATGTTCGCTCCTCCTTGAGGATCTTGTCCATTTGCCTGTAGTCGTTGACGACAATCTGGTTTTCCATGTCCGGCTTCGGTGGGCTCAACTGGAACTGAATGAGACCTATCCGTGCCTTCTCCTTCAATGTGGGACCACCGGCGCTCTTGACTACGGGCTGGTTGAGAACCAGTCCGTCGATCATCTCGCTGTCTTCGATGGTACCGCCTGACTTCTTGATCATGCGGATGTTCTTCAAGTCCACATTGTCGGCGGTCTTGGGGTCGATGACCTTGAGGACTGAATCTACAGCCATGATGGGTAGCTTGGGCTCCTGAGCGACGATCTTGGAAGAGAGTGCGGTCGTGGCGGTCTTGAGGAGCGTTTGCCTATCCGTGAGCGAGATGGGGATGGCCATCTCGGTCAATATCGATATCGCCTCCTGCGCTGCCCGTTGGAAAGCCTCTGATATGACTGTGGGGTGGATGCCCTTGCCCAATAACCTCTCAGCAGCGCCCAACAGACTTCCAGCAATGACTACGACCGACGTTGTACCATCTCCAGCTTCGATATCTTGGGCGTGTGCGAGGTCGACGAGCATCTTCGCGGAGGGATGCATAACGCTCATCTGGTTCAACATGGTGGCTCCGTCGTTTGTGATGATGGTCTGGCCTTTGCTGGTTTGGATCTGGACAAGTCAGCTATGATGGCTAGCGGTTTGCGCCTGGCTCGTACCATCTTGTCCATGCCCTTTGGTCCCAAGGACTGCCAAAAAGTTAGTATTCATCTCTTCCCCGCACCTCGTGGTGGGACATACAGTTCGGATCGCATCTGCCACAGCTGCACAATTTGAGTTAGCGAAATGCTCCTAAAAGAGAAAGAGTAGGTTCTGTACCTCTTGCGGCAATGATGTTAGCGCTGCGAACAGCTCTGGGCTTCTCCTTGTCCTGGGCCAATGTCAGTCAATGTTTTCAGAGCTTAGTGACGAAGCGCACCTTGAAGGCAGTGTTACCGCCACCGGTACCGCCATTTGCAACTTGAGCGGCCATCTTTCAGTATACAGGAGGAACAAAGCTAAAAGAGGGGTATCGTGGGAGTTTGGCGGGGAAGTTGTGGTGCCTGGACGCGAACTGACAATATTTCGAGAACGCGATAGACGTAGCGCACGGCCAATCCCCAAGCTCCGACTCGCCGGGCCATTGCCGCATCACAGCTACACCTTCACCCAGTCCACAACAACCAACCCCATACACTCGCCGCGCCGCCGCATCTACTCCCACTGTCGCTCCTACCCGGACACATCCACAACTCGACTGCACGCATAGCCCGAATCCTATCTCGGCCACACGACAGTCGCCGCCCACTCCGCAAGCATGCCTTCAGCCACAGGCCAGTCCTGGGAGAAGTACCAGAAGAACTTCGCCGACGACGAGGTTGAGGAGAAGAAGATCACACCTCTGACCGATGAGTAAGAGGCGATAGGTCACGTTCAAAGCGGGCATGGGCTAATGGCATCACAGGGACATCCAGGTGTTGAAGACATATGGCGCGGCACCCTATGGCGCCGAACTCAAGAAGCTCGAGAAGGAGATCAAGGACAAGCAGCAGACGATAAACGAGAAGATTGGTGTCAAAGTACAAACTCCTTCACCCTTCGTCCATGCTCGACTAACGCCTCCAGGAATCAGATACCGGACTCGCACCTCCACATCTCTGGGATATCGCCGCCGACCGCCAACGAATGCAAGAAGAGCAACCCCTCCAGGTCGCGCGATGCACCAAGATAATACAAGACGAGAAGGATTCGGAGAAGAGCAAATATGTCATCAACGTCAAGCAAATCGCCAAGTTCGTCGTCAACCTCGGAGAGCGCGTCTCACCCACCGACATCGAGGAGGGCATGCGCGTGGGTGTTGACCGCAACAAGTACCAGATCCTGCTTCCCCTTCCGCCAAAGATCGACCCTTCAGTTACCATGATGACGGTTGAGGACAAGCCCGATGTCACATACGGAGATGTTGGAGGTTGCAAAGAGCAGATTGAGAAGCTACGAGAGGTCGTCGAGATGCCCCTACTATCACCAGAGCGCTTCGTCAACCTGGGTATCGACCCTCCGAAGGGTGCTCTTCTCTACGGCCCTCCAGGAACCGGAAAGACCCTTTGCGCCCGAGCTGTTGCCAACCGAACCGACGCCACCTTCATTCGAGTTATCGGTTCAGAGCTTGTCCAGAAATACGTCGGAGAGGGAGCCAGGATGGTGCGCGAGCTGTTTGAGATGGCACGAACAAAGAAGGCGTGTATTATCTTCTTCGACGAAATCGATGCTGTCGGTGGCGCTCGTTTCGATGACGGTGCTGGAGGCGACAACGAAGTACAGCGTACCATGTTGGAGCTTATCACACAACTGGACGGTTTTGATGCTCGCGGTAACATCAAGGTCATGTTCGCGACCAACAGGCCTTCGACTCTGGACCCAGCCCTCATGCGTCCTGGCCGTATCGACCGAAAGATCGAGTTCTCGCTACCAGACATGGAAGGCCGTGCCAACATTCTCCGTATTCACGCCAAGAGCATGAGTGTAGAGCGCGACATCCGTTGGGAGCTCATCTCTCGTCTCTGCCCCAACAGCACAGGTGCGGAGCTGAGGAGTGTAGCTACAGAAGCGGGCATGTTCGCAATCAGGTAACCACTGTCCGAAGTGCATGTGAGACATTTACTGACTTGTATTTCTAGGGCTCGAAGGAAGGTTGCCACCGAGAAGGATTTCCTGGCTGCTGTGGACAAGGTCATCAAGGGCAACCTCAAGTTCAACTCGACCGCTACCTACATGCAGTACAACTAGACGGCGCCACGTGCGTTGCGTTGAAAGTAGCTTATGTATTTACATTAGAAGGCAGCACTGGTTTTGTATGAGTACTAACGATAGTGCTTTTCTTCCACTTAGATGGATAGGACATAATGCATTATTCGAATCATTCTGTTCTCTACAGTGAAGTCTTGACCAAGCATAACCCAGTCGATATGGTTTGTGATAGATATAAGTCTCGTACATGTCGCATTACTCGTCTAATTAATCAAACGACTTGTTGGATACACATCAACCTAGGTAAAACCTAAACACCCTAGAGCCTACATTGACGTTAGCTCACCTACTTTGCATGTTCTCATCTTGATGTAGTCTGCAGACCTGTTCGGGCTTTTTCTTGTATGAGGTGAATATGCCATTAAACTACGACTGTCCCGCCAATATCGCACAAATCAACATCAACACCCCACTTCAACCCACTTGCCTCAGCACCCTTCCGCCATCTTTCAGGCGGCTCAGTAACCGGTTCGTAACTAGCCGAGTAGGCACCACGGAAGGTACCAAAGTGCATGCCTATACTCTTCTTACTCCTCACATCCCTATGTATAGCCAAAGAATCCTCAGGACTAGAATGCTGACCAGACAAGACAGACCTCGGCTTGAAGCAACCCACAGGCACAAGTGCCAGATCAAAAGGTCCGTATAACTCGCCGATTTCTTTGAAAGCCGGACAAGGCGGGTGTGGCGCGTCGTGGTGTGAAAATTGGTCGTCGGAAAGAACGTGGCAGTATCCTGTGTCTCCCGCGAAGAAAAGCTTCTTGCCAGAGGAAGACGGTTCCTTGACGATCCAACTACACCACAGTGTGCCGTCGAAGTTCCAAGGCGTGCGTCCAGATCGATGTTGCGCAGGCGTGCATATCAACTCTACGCCTCCAGCACCCTTTTTGAACACAGTTATGCCACCCCACCAGTCCATTTCTTCGATTTGATCCGCCTTGATGCCTGCGCCCAACCCCGTCAGAACAGACTTGACGCCTAATCCGCAGAAGAAGCGCAAGTCGCCGCCTTGTTTCGCATTCAGCTTCTTCAGCGTGTCCGAGTCGAGGTGGTCGTAGTGGTCGTGGCTGATGCATACAGCGTCGATTTCAGGGAGCTCGTCAATGGTGCATGGTGGAGGTGTGAAGCGCACAGGACCGACCATGCCATAAGGTCCTACGCGCTCACTCCATACGGGGTCAAGGAGGATGCGCATTCCGCGTTCGTTTCCCTCTGAAGCTGTTGTTTCGATCAGGAAACTCGCGTGTCCTATCCATGTTGCCTTTAACCCGTTCTGCGCATTGCTGAAGTCGGGCTTGCGCACGTCGACCAGGCCTAATCGATCGGCGGGAATGGGGACGAAGTTCTTGGGTGTGCTGAACCGCGTTCGGACGGCAGCAATTATGCCGTCGTTCTTATACGAGGGCCATGGGTTCTTGAAGCTTGTGGGTGGCTTGCCGATGTGATGGGCCGTCGTGTATGTGTCTGGCTTGTGCGGGGGTAGCGGCGTTATGGAGGATGAAGGAGGCATTCTCGGTGTTTGGTAGTGCCTAAAAAACAGCGCGAGGATGCAAAGGGCTTGATGTGGGCGCGCATGGCTGGTTGTCGTGTAGATGGGACTATGACGACGAATGGCGGGTGTGGAGGCGGCGATAGGCAGCGCTCGTCGGAGGCCACGTTCGTCCGGTCCACCGTTGGAGGCGCGTTTGGGATTCGAGGGTCGCGTAGGGCTAGGAAACCTTCGAGACGTTCATCGATGACTTCACTGCCCTTGAAGCAATGTCGATGCAGTTGTTGAGTTTGTGCGTCTGGTCGTGGAGCGTCATCGAGCAGGTCCGACCCAGATAGACCCTGTCACCTATCGAGCAACCCACGTTCTGCCCCAGCCATCCTTCGCGACGTAATCCCCAACTCTTTTTGCACAGAGAGTCAAAGCCGTAATTGTGGCTGATCCTACCCACCAATCTCACATCCCAACGCGCATCTCCAACATCATGGCCTCGGAGACAGCTCAAGGGTACAAGCACCAAGGCGCGGCTTGCGTAGCCTTGTTCTCTTATCATCCAATAGGACCGACACGTGAGCCGTCTAGTTTACATGCAGGTACTGTTCGTCTTTCGCTCATCGCCGCCGCCGGAGCTCTAACCAGGAGTCTGGAAGATGTACCTTCTACATCTGGTAAGCACCGACTGGGGCCGCAGCGGCCTGGGTACGCCGTGGCCAAAATTTTGTGAGCTTTATAGATGTCGGCTTCCCAGCGTTGTTGAACTCGTAGTATACCTTTGCGTCAATCAATCTTTTATCTTTACAGTCAAGGCAAGATGAAGGGTACCTTTTCCAAAGCCGGCACTGCGGCTCTACTGGCCACAACGGCAAACGCACAACTCTATCCCAACCAGAGCCCGTTAAATCACACCTGTCAGTTACAAGAACCACTTCTGTCGTGCCCATCGCAAGATCCCTCCAAGGTAGACTCCTGCTGCGTCGAGACATTCGGTGGACTTGTTCTGAGCACTCAATTCTGGAACACATACACCGGCCGCGAGTCTGAAGGCCAGCTTCTCCCTACCGACACATGGACGCTCCACGGCCTCTGGCCCGACTTCTGTAACGGTAGCTACACACAATACTGCGACCTGAGCCGTCAATACGACCCCATTCCGGGACCGAACACCACGAACGGTCTACCAAACGGCACATTCGTCCCACCCTACAACGGCTCCAACATCGGCACCTTCCTCGAGCCATTTGGCCGTTACGACCTCTTGGAGTACATGAATACCTACTGGATCGCATGGCAACAAGACAACCCCGGCTTCTGGGGCCACGAGTTCTCCAAGCACGCCACCTGCTTCTCTACCTTCAACGTCCCTTGCTACGGCCCGCAGTACCGCGAGCACGAGGACGTTGTTGACTTCTTCGAGACGGCTGTCAAGTACTACAAGAGATTCCCCACCTTCGACTGGCTGGCTGCTGAGGGCATCACACCCTCCAACTCAACCACGTACTCGTACTCTGATCTTGTAGATGTTCTGTACGAGCAGCATGGTGGTATTCCTTTCTTGGGTTGCTCGGGACCCAGGTTCAATGCTACTGATGCTGGGAAGAACTCGACGGATAGAGGCTACACTATCTTGAGCGAGGTTTGGTACTACGAGCACGTAAGTATCCGCTAAGTGTGCCCAGTATGCGAATAGATAGGTGCTAACATGCGATTAGGTCTACGGCCGCCCTCAGGAAGGCAATGCCATCCCCGTTAATGCTTCTGCTACCTACCTCACCAACTGCGCCACTTCCGAGGGCGCAATTCACTACCCGGAAAGGACCAATGGGTCGGAGAAGGCTCCCACTGTCCCGTTTTAGGAAGACATAGTCGGGTTTGGTGTATTGTAATGATCAATATCAATCACTTCGTGAACGCAAACGAAGTTGCTCTTCACATCCACATTATTCACGGAATTACTGAAAACCCTAGAGCCTACATTAACATCACAAGATGTAAAGTATGCAATCTAACGTTAACGTACAGCCTACGTTAATATAGAAAGACGCAAAGTACATAACCTAACGTTAAGGTAGGGCCTACATTAACATAGCAAGATACAAAGTATGTAATATAACGTTAACGTAGGGCCTACATTAATACAGAAAGATGCAAAGTGTGTAATCTAACGTTGATGTAGGCTCTAGGGGTCACTGAAAGTCAAGTGAATCAACGCAGAAGTATGAAATTCCTTCGTATCAACTGACACTATTGATAGTCTACCCAGTACTAATACAAAACAAAGAATTTACTTGTTCTTTACCCGCACAAACTTTTGCACCCCAGTCTTAGGATCGAATCTGCTCTCCTAGTTGAATTTACGCGGTTTTCCAGCTACCTCATCTTCCGGACTAGTCTGCGAGGCAGCTCTTGTGCCGCGTTCTTCCTGCATATTCGTATCCTGAGTCTGGTCTTCGGGATCTAAGCCGCCTTCCTCGGGCGTCTGTCGCTCGTCGTCTGCGTGATCTTCCCCTGTATCCATGTCGACGTCTGTTTCCTGCACCCGTGGACTCTGTGTTTCGGAGATTCGGTTCCGCTCAACCTGCTCCCTCTTGATCTGGACTGCCGCCTTTGTTGCTGGGGCGTGGTTCTGCGACCGTGGGTGGACGGTGTGATCGGTGTTTTCTTCAAAGACTTGACGAGTGTAGTCTTGTTGTTTCCGTGCTGCGTCAACACCAGCGGGAAACATCTTGCCCATTATCGCGTTGTGCTTATCGCTGGCGCTTGGGTCCGCTGCGTACCCGCTTGGACTCGGCGTGTCCGGTGCATTGGTTGAGGCCGCATATTGGTGATTGGTGGGCGTGAAGCCAGTGGGTGAGTGACTTGCTTCGCCTTCGTTGCGTGAATGCACCTTGCGGAGGTTAGCTGCTGAGGATTGTGAGCGCATGTCTGGGCGGCCGTCTTTGCGAATCAAGACTCCATCTGCATTCCTAATAGGTTTGGTGCGTGTCTTTTTTGCCGACCCAAACATATCGCCTGGCGATCCGAAGCTCATAGCAGCTGTCACACCTTGTAGACCTAGACTGCTAGCACGATCGCTGGTTGGGTAACCGCCACGACCACCCCCACCGCCACTGCCTCGCCGCGCAATGCCCCCTCGTCCTGGCTGCGCGACGTGTTGGTAGTATCCGGACGGACTGATCTGAGAATCGGGAACACCTTGCCAATCAGGCCTTTCCCAATCAGGGGTTCCGAGTGTACCGTGGGCTGGCATACTCTTCCTAACTCTGCCACCTCGACTTCCAGGACCCCCACCCCGACGCCCACGCGGTCGATGCTCGATCATACGCTGGGACTCGGGTTGCCAGCTGGCGTCTGAAGGGCCATCTTGTGTGGCGTAAGGGACGTAGGAAGACTGTTGCGATTGCGATCCGAGAACAGATTCAGGTACAGTTTGTTGGGACGGTATCGTGGGCGTTTGGAAGCGATGGTCTGTCATGGGAGTTTGTTGCGAGGCTGTGTAACCTGAAGGACCACCATCAACAAGCCTCTGCCTCTTGGGCGAACCGGGTGCTTGAGTGTTGGCCTCCTGTGGATTCTCAACGCCGTTCTGATGTGTTCGTTTCACTCCCGCGTTGATGGTGGCCCATCCGCCAGCCTGACTTCCAGTGGGACCGACGCTCGTGGGATTCGGCGCGTTCATAGGTGTCGCCGTGGTGGAAGGAGCGGCGAACGACGATTGCTGTGGCTGGCCATTGGTTACCGGTTGGGGTGCTCCATTGCTCGGCGTCATCGTTGGTGTACTCTGATGCGAGTGAGGTGGGCGTGCCATTGATGCTTGCGGAGCTTGATACGTATATGGTGGTGCTTGTGAGGGCTCAGGTCCGGCGCGCTCTTCCAGTCGATAGATTTTCCCCTTCATGATCTCGATAGTAGTACTGAGAAGGTCTACATCACTCGCCTTATGCGACAAAACATTCATCTGCTGCGCCATTTGCTCTAATGCTGCATTCTGCGCCGCGAAAGATGGAGCGGCATGGGGCGTAGCCGAAGCTCCTGATTGCCTCTCCATCCTCATCGTATATAACTCACGATTGATGTTTTGCATGGCAAGGTGCATGCCTTGCATCTCACTTTGTAATCTCTCGGCCAGCGCTTCCACCTTTTTGATATGCTCATTTTGCTGAAGAAACTTGAACTGGTATTCCTGACGCAGTGCCTCTGCTGTTTGGTCCATCTTCTCCTGGTGAAGCCTAATGTCGCGGGTATGCGCAGCTAAGGCGCCACTGTTGTGGGACATTTGCGTCTGTATACGCGCCATAGCGTCTATGCTAACGTCTTCTGGCGAACGAGGATAGTGATGGCCGTTGGTCTGAGGGACCATTGTTGGCACCTCAGGTGGACCGCTCATTGACTCAACGCCAGGACCTTGGTGAGACTTAGGAGGTTCTTGATGATAGGGAGCATTTGACTGCGGTGCAGTGCTCAGCGCGTCTTGAGCAAAAGCATGTGGGGAGTTCCGTATCGAAGACTGCATCGATGATGGTGCTGGTAACGACGGTGTGTTGTCTCCGACAGAGTGCAACGACTGCTGCTGCTGTTGTAAATTACGGTCTTGGGATGGCTCGTACCGCCCGCGAGTGTGATCTGGGTGATCTACAGATGGCGCACGCGAGTCAATCTCCATAGCTTCAGCCGAGGACGCTTTTGGTGTTGCTCTCGACGAGGGAGGACTTGGGGTGTCTTCGTTCGCTAGTAGGTCTTGCGAGGCATCCACTTCAGGCTCGACTACAATGGTATGATTTGGTGCTGTCTCGCATTGCAGTTCTATGCGACCCAGCTTGAAGAAATCTCGACCGCTGTCACAGGTCAGCCATCATGCAAGGACTTGAAAGGCCATTGGAGAAGTTCCTTACCGAAAGGATCCCTTTCCTGCAGGTGCGGTGACAACGGTGAATCCGATAGCTGTCTTTACGCAAGCCGGATCTGGGCACGATAAAGGCTGAATGGTACTGGTGTTGAGTTAGTCCCAAGATCGCTGTGCGAACAAAATGATAGCAATAAGGAATGCGGGACGTAAAATGCGGGCGTACACGTCTAATAGATGTTAATCTATAGTGTGGAAAGATTTGGTGCAGGCTAGCGTCGGTGCGTCTAGAGGAAGAAACTTAAAATACCATGTAACCATCGGCAGCCGGGATACGCCAACTTGTGTGTTGGGGTTTGTTGATAGCCAGCCAAGGCTATAAGAGGGAAAGGTGCGACAAACAATTGTAAAGGGAGAAGGAACCAATGCCATGTCTGGGTTCAGCTTACCATCCTGCTAATTCGGTGCCTTTTGACGCCGCTTTTAGTTTGCCCATGGGCTGTAAGGTAGAACTGTAAGAGCCGAGCATGGCGGGAACGAAGTAGCTGCCGGTGACCTTGTACCAGGAGTTATAGAAATCTCCAATGCACTTCTGACAATTCTTGCAGTATGCTTTAGTTGCACGGTTGGTGGGCGGGGAAGGTGGAGAGGCCTCATCAGCACTCTCCACAACCTCTGGTGGTGATGGCTGAAGTTCATGTGTATTCATGTCTGACTCCACCTCGCCAATTCCGGATCGCCTGGAGCCCGCCATTGATGCAGCCCATTGACACAACAGTGCCTAGGCGATAGCTGCAAGTGAGCGGAGAGGCTGCACGAAAAGTGCTAGATAGCAACAAATAAAAGTTGGATGAAAGAGGGTGGGCCTAAGCAAGCTGAACTACCGGTCTCGGGTACGCGACGACGCGTCTCAGTCCAGGATAGCGTTTCAGCAAGCGCAGTGAGATTGGAAGCGAAGAGGAAAAAATGGTAGGCCCCAACAAGAATAGGCGGTTGCGGCGGAGACTGGAAGGAACCCTGAAAGACGAGAGCTAATTCAGAGGAGGGAAAGGGCAAGTGAAATAATTAGCAGGAGTTATTCCATGATTAGCCATGCATGAGTCCGAGTGGGGTTAGCGCGCCTCGCTATCAATTTAGATGCGCTCTATTGCGAAAAAGCCCTGAAGCCGTCTCGTGTCGCAAGCGCAACACGCTAGCTGTTCCATCTCGCGCAACAGCCAGATCTCTTCAGCTGTAATTTCGTCCGTCTATCGAATGCGAGCAGTTGCCTACCGTCCGAGGTACGCATGTGTCGACGTGCACAGGTATGAACTCGTGTCACAGCATCCCAACACCTGATCGGTAGTCACTGTCGTTATGGGGCAGTTTACTCATCCCGGGACCAAGCGCCGGCTATCTTTATTACCATCAGATTGCGACGATTACAGGTTGCCAAGTTTGATCCGCGACATGGGCCAATTAGCATAACATGTCGATGCAGGATGATAGCTATATGTCCGAATTTACATTTGCAGCTATATCTGGGCCAGACTACTCGTTTCTGGCCTTTATCCATGCCATTTTCCATGTCGTCGTCAGCAGCATTGTCCCAACTGGTACCCGCCTCCCATCATGACGGAATGATCGTCGCTGAGGACACTGCTGTACCGTGGCAGCGATCTCACACAGGCAAAGATGGGATTGTGGTTTTACAGAGTTGAATTTGCGCAATCTTCGCCCACTGTGAGGCGGCGAAAAGCTTTGCGCTAATTTAACTCCAAGTAAGGGGAAAGTGGACAGGGATGTTGATTGATGTCATGCAGTACTTGTGCCCTTGGCACGATAGTTATTCGCGTTTAATCCTTTCTACCGATAATTGCAAAACACAACGCATGTTCTAGAAAGCATTCAGCCTCTCAGCCTATGCATCCCGATTATCCGTTCATACGCCACGGCCGAGACTGTCTGTCAAGCGATATGCGCTTGGACACCATGTACCACGACACGTTGCGCTTTGCACGTAGCACGCGCGAGGTACGAATACTCGTACTTTACTTGACAACAATAAAGCCAACGCCGTTGCGAGCCTCTTGACAGGCTTTAGAGAGAGCCTGCACCTCCGTATCCGTCCATTTGACGCTGAGGTTGTCCCAATTCTTGGTAGCGTATTCACGGCGATACTGCTGTTGCATTGCTTGCAAGCGACGGATTTCTCGAGGGTCGCCTGTCCCACTGTACACAATAAAGGCCGTGCAGCGTGGCAAAGCGTCGTATATCTGCCCGATACGTTCAATGGTCTTGGAGACGGCATCGCCGAGCTCAGGTCCGTGAACCTCAACATCTGTATCCTCGCCGTCCTTCAGAAGACCCAGTCGTTGCAAGGCATTCTGTCGAATGAGCTCGACGTCGGCCGTCTTGGCGTCGTCCCACCAGCCTCTTGCAAGCTCCAACTCGCGCAAACGTCCCCAGACAAAGTCGATCTTGTCAGTAGTGCCATCCTTGCCTTCAGCTTGACCCTTTACTGTACGCTCAATAGCTTCCACTACTTCCTCATCGGTCTTGCAGCCTATGGAGACTCGAGCTTGGCCACCGTGACCTCTGTTCGGGTCGCCCCAGTCGATGACAGCTCCTGCACGATGCACTTCGTTTGATTTTGGTCGTACAGAACGATCCATTCTCTTGAAAATAGACTCCGCGTTTGTGTCGCCCGACCCCCAGCGCGGGCCCTTTTCACACTTTTGTTTGACTAGATCGAGACATGTCCGAGCATCTTCCACACTGTCGTGACCTGCTGAGCCCTTTTGCACTTCGCGCTTGAGATATTTCTGCGCAAGCCACTTCAGCGACTGCTTGTATGGTGGCCCACGAGGGTGCGGGTAGAGGATACCAGTGTCGATGATGAAGGGGTGGGTCAACTTGAGTGCGTTGAGATCAGAGTTTAGCGAGTGTCCCACAAGGATTGTACGCGGTGTGATGAGTTCCAATAGCTCCTTCTGTATGTCCGCTAGAGTAGTTGTGACGTCTTGGAGCATGGCCGCTGTAATACCGGACCATTGGGTCAGGTAGTCCTTGATGGCGACATCCGGCTTGACAAGCTTGTCGAGGGCCGTAGTGCCGTCCCAGTTCAATAGACTGATGCGAGTGAGTACAAGCTGGTCATTCTCAGCTTTGCACATCTCACAGTCTACGGATATAATGTGTCTTCCAGCAGTCAGACTGCCTTGTTCAATCTCCATCTCGGGTACTTCTGCATCTTCCAAGGTAGCGACATTGGTGTCGACCCAACCGTCATCAGCACTCTGATGGGCAAGCTTCCTTCTCTCGTTATTGGCCTCCTTGGATTCCGAAGTGGTGAACATCGCTGGATGTAGCACGTATTCGTTCTCTTGCTGTTCCATTAGACTGGCGATGTATTCGGTGATGCGTGTGCGCTTGTTTTCCCAGTTCTTCGAGTTCTGCGGCAAAGGGCCTTTGTGGTTCCCCGTCTTCTTCATCTGCTTCTCTTCTTGCGTCTTGGGTATTTGTGAGGTTAGCATCGTATGAATGGGCGAATGCACCCTCATATATTGGTTGTTGCGATGTTCGCCTATAGCCTTGATGGGCCAGACATGCTCAAAGATTTCAGCGAGGGGTTTCAGCGATGCAGGTAGTTTTTCGGCCTTGAGACTAGCCGGATAAAAGTCATCACGCGAAATGTTTAACCGCTTGGGCTTTGCTGCCTGTGCATCCTTTACAGCCTTTGCAGCCGTGAGCGCAGCATCAGTCTGCGCATCTGTTGTCTCTGCTCCAACAGAAGGGTTCGACTGAGGCGCGGCGTCTAGAGCAACATCGCCGTTGAACATACCCAGGTCCAATCCCGGAACCATAAGCATGACGACCTGTTGGATATTGGCACGACTGCGTACAGAAACCCACTGCGGCGCATTACCGTCAGCAAGCAAGTACAGTACCAGTGACTGGAGGTCTGTGATCTTCACGTGCGAGTTCAGGCGGGCATGATGCGAATGCTCAATGGCTGGGTAGCTCCTCTGCAGCTTGCGCTCTTTCCTGCGCTCCTCCCTGGTCATGTTCTCGCTTGACTGCTCAGAGCCAGCTTTGTATGTGACGAAAGGGTTGTCGGTGGAGGAAAGGCGATTTCCTAGTTGGGCGTCTTTGCCTGCGAATGGGTTGTCGGGAGTTGCATCTTGCTGCGGCGGTGGCGATCGTGCCTTGCGCTTGCCCTGCCCATCTGTGTCGCGCGAATGGCCAGGACTGCGAGCTGGCGAAGGCGAGTTTGAGGCGCGGCGCCCGTTGTGCTCAGAGTGCGATCCGCGTTCCTTCCGTCTCCTTTTCGAGCCGCTGACTACTGTCCAGCCCTCTTCGTCTCCGTTAGTCGTGGTGGTTGCCGCATTGTCGGATTGCGCTTCGCCGCGCATGTGCGCCAGTGTCGCACCGAGTCCCATATCGGCAGGAGGTGGCTCGTCGCGAGCGCCGCGCTTTCGTTTGGCCATATCAGAGCTCATGCGACCCGCGTGAGTCGATTTGGTGGGCGCGAGGTGTTGTTGTGGAGAAGCTCAAGAAAATGTTCGGGGTTCCGGCGCATGGGTACGCGCTAGCCATGGCCCACAGACATCCACTACTCTTGTCTCTGTATTCATTTCACTTCGCAACACGCAATAAATTCTTTATTCTACAATGAGGTTCGCGTTCCGATATCGAAGAACCCAGTCTTCATAGTCTTCGTCGTCTTTGTGGTCTTCGCTGCATAGTTCACTATATACATACCCGCCGACGTCATATCGTCACAGCTGCGCTCATGCATGAACCAAGTGAAAACATCACGAGGAGATGCATTCAGACCAATTCTACAATGTGGGGCTGCTTAAGAGCCTATCATGGAGAAACCATCGCAAGAAGCAATAGATTGTCGCTTCCGGACACACAGCTAGACTGAAACCGGAAACTCAGCAGTGGAGTATATGTCGAGTTTCTTGAGCAATATACGAATCGCGGAGAGGGTGAACGGTGAAGTGAATCCAAGAGTAGATATTCGAGTGATGAAAGTGATGCGATCTCATGCCGGCTCCGCGCATACCATGACACTCCTTCTTTCAACTGCACAAGACCTTTTCCTTAGACTCTACCTCACCGCCGAACCTCTGTCTACATCTGCATCTATTTCAGCGCAATCCTACAGCAAGAATGCTGACAAAAGACCAGTTCGTTCAGGGGCTAGAGCCGCTCAGATGTGGTATCTGTCTGGACGACTACAGTACCGAGTAAGTAGCACTTGGTGGTCCCTACTGCGACGGCACACTGACTTGGCTGCTCTCTATTAGGCACGTCCCGGTGCAACTTCCGTGTGGCCACATCTTCGGAGACCACTGCATCGTCAAGCAAGTCGAGGCTGAAATGCCCAACAACAATCGATGTCCACTATGCCGCCAAGAGCTTTTCCACCAAGAAGATACACATGTATACATCAGCGACGACTCGGAATGGGGCGATGCCGATGACGAAAACGAGGAGGAAGAATGGGACTTCGATGAAGAGAGGTATCAGGAGACCCTTGCTGGGCTTCTTCAAGATAGCGAGCCAGGTTTGGCACACCTTGCCTCCTCGGATATCGAAATGCTTACGGACTCAGGGGAAGAGACATATGGTCTAGCACCCAGTGCACTTCACGCTGAGACCATCGCCACGACAAGGAGGGAGCGCCTCAATCGCCAACGGGAGTTCAGACTGCATGCTGGGCGGGGGCGGGATGGGGGCAGGACAACCGTCCCGAAGCTACCCGGACGTACACGCACCTACAATCAGATTGAAGCATCTGATGTAGAGACAGATGCAGACTGGTCTGGATCTGAGTACGAGCCAGAGGAGGACAACGACCCAGCCGATGAATGTGAGGAGTAATTTGGCGTCGATGTAGGTACCACGGTACGGTTTTGTGTGGCACTCAACTTGAGCCAGAGGATATGTAGTAGCCAAGATAACCTTTTGCGAGGCAGTTGCTGGGTTCCGAAAGAAATGTAGCCTTCACAATCTCTCAATGCAAGTGATAAGCTAGGTTCCGAAAGTGATGTAGCCTCCACGGCCCTCTTTGTGATATCATGTGGAAATACCACTAGCCCTGTCGATAACATCTGCCGAATTTGCTATCTTTGTGGATATGAAGACCCACAGGTGGCCATGGGCGTAGAATTTAGCCGGCAGGTTGTGTAACATTGCATCGACGCATGTCAGCATCTACATGGTAAGCTTCCTCGCATTTCTATTTGTACATACGCTCATCTACAGTCATTGTCATAATTCGTCGGTCTGTATCGTTATCCCTTCTATAGTTTTCCTCTCCTGCTATCGACCGCTTCCCTGAGCTTCTTGATAACGTCTCCAGGGTCCGAAGCGCCGAAAACAGCACTGCCAGCAACTATGACATTAGCGCCAGCATCAGCAGCTTGGTCAATGGTCTTCTCGCTTAGACCTCCGTCGACCTCGATCTGTAGCTCTGGGTACTTTTGTCGAAGCGCGGTGACTTTGGGGAGCTCGGACGCCATGAATGACTGGCCACCGAAGCCGGGCTCTACAGTCATGATCAATATCATCTGTGGATGTTAGCATGAAATCTCTGCCGAACGCGACGTGGCCTAACGCGGGCCTTGAGTTGAGGTTATTGATCCTGCGGGAGCAGCCAGCGGCGTGGGCGGGTAGGTACCGATGTCAACTTTGGGGATTACTGAATTGACAGGTGGCCAATGGATGGACAGTCGGTTGGGCAGCATGCGGCAGGCTTCTCGAAAGAACGCACAGGTCAAGACTGATTGACAGTGGGCTTACGCAGGCTGGTATGCCTAAGCGCCAGCGCGTGCCGCCCACGCCCCAACAGGGTCAGCCCTACCCAGCCTGGCTTTGCTCGACCACTTCCGAGGCCTCTCTAACCACCATATAGCGCGTGCGGCCCTTTCGTGATATCGATTGTGATGATGGAAAGCATGGCAGTGCAGGGGTGATGAACTCACATCCGGAACCTCGTCCTTGTTTGGGTTCTCCATTATCTCCCACAGCACATCGACCGGTGTGCTCGGCTTGATTGCGATACCAGCCTGCATACCCTCGCTATGTATGAACTTGACCAGCTCTTTTGGAGATGTCTTCTGGTCCGATTTCCCACTGGGTGAGTCTGCCGCGGTTGACGAGACGGCGGCTTCGTAGTGGAAGCAGTACAGGTCGCAGCCAGCCTGCTTGAAGTCGCGCACCCATCGCTTGGGCTCGGCGATCATCATGTGACAGTCGAATGTTCCCTTGCCGTGGGCGGTGGTCGGTCGGTCGACGTGTGAACGGATCTTGGTGACAACGGGCGCGCCAAAGGTCATGTTGGGCACAAAGTGGCCGTCCATGATGTCGACCTGCACGTGTCAGTCGCGTGCACTCCAGCCCAAAACTCAGCATCGCGTACATGGAGCCAGTCGGCGCCCTGGGAGATTGTGTCTGAACAGGCCTTGCCCAGCGCTCCGAAGTCTGCCGACAGAATCGACGGCGCGATGATGGCAGGCGGTGACATGACGGGCGGTTCTAGTGCGGTTTCGGTGTGTATAAGTGATCTAGAGAAGCGCCAATGGGAGGTATGGGGAGATTGTGGAAATTGCTAGTGTGACGGAGCTCACGATAGCTTTTTGGTGTTGACGGCATCAGCGTCACGCCTGCCCCTCCATCCATGCCCCGCTGCACGCCTTGGCACGCCTCACCTCTGTTCTTGTTCATGCAGACCGCGCAGCTCACCACCTCACGTTTCGAATCAACTATGTTTGCTGAACGGGGCCGTCAATGCTCTAAATCGACTGAAACCTTCTCTATTGTTATATCTTGGTGATCGGCAACCGCGTGGCTGGTCGCGTGTTTGTACTGCCGAAATGGCTGCGACGGGTCTCGGCACCTGGTCTTTCCCTCTCACATGGCACGGGATGGCTACATGACAGCCTTGAGGACAGCCACAACCACCGCCTCGCGTCCAACTCGAGGCCGTGAGACAATATCCAGCCCCGCAGCAAGAATCGATTTCGCGGAGGCACTATTGGGCGAGTATGCTGTCCAACGCCGCTGTGTCTCGTCATTGGACAAGCGTGCAGAACGCGAGCGCTGCAAATAGCACAGCCCGGCGCTTACAACCAAACACCCAACCACGCCGTGCAGCGCAACGCTCCTCTAGCCCAAAGTTTCTAGCGCATGGTATTGACCTTGCTCGCCATAAACTTACACTGGCCAATCATGCCGCCTTCACCCTCTTTGCCATGTCGTGGCCGACCTTGAGCCGCTACTGCCTCTCCACCCAGACTCGGCCCTCTATGCGAGTGGACGGCCAACTGGCAGTGTAGCTCGGACGAATGCCACAGTAACACTAGCCCACAGTCACTCGACGAGTAGGCGTCTACGCGCGATATATCCTCTGACCATCGCGCTCGCGCCGCATCGACTCTCTTTTGCCATTCACTTCTAGTCCTCTTCCGAGCCCCTTCTTCCGTCAAGTCTTCGTTGATCGAAGCAATTCCATTTTTACCAGTAAGCTGTTGACCAGCGCAGTTTTGGGCTATAGCTCATCTTAATATCGCCTCTATTTGGTCCCCTGTACTTCTGTATTTGGACCCCTACCACCCTCGCCGCACTCCCGCCTACTCGGATTTTCATAGGTATCTTTAGTAATATTAGCACAAGGCGGTGCTCACGTCACCGCAATATACAACATGCCTGAGATGCTGGAGCCTGCAGTATACCATCCTGCGACCTTCGGCCCCATGGCCAACTCTCATCAAGCCATGTCTCCGCTGGATCAGAGACAGGCACTTAATGCCACCGACGACGAGTCCTCAATTCCCACCTACTACTTCGGAGCAAGATATTCCACCTCGTCGATATACCTACCCACTCCCGCGTCACCAGCCAGCATTGACGACGACTTCCCAACCCCCAAGGCACGCTTATTCGATATGACCCCGCAGCCGTCGCCGCGCTTTCCAGTTCACTCGGCTACATATCCCCCAGTAAACCGGGCGAGTCGTGCTGACAGCGACTTCGACTCCCTCTACGACATCACTGACGATGAGGCTGAGGTACCTCTCCATGCATCCGCATCAGTCAAGAAGCTTGCGACCCAGCCTAGACAGAGACGCTACCCATCCATTGTCATCCCTTCGCCTTCCGCATGGCCAACCATTGAGAAGTTGAAGAGTGCAAACTCGGCGATGCCCGTTACCCCATCGTTGCTACTGACCCCATCGCGTCGCTTCCTTGAGATGATCGACTCTCACAACCTGCACGTGCCTGAGCACTCAGCAGCCCCTTCCCTGGACGGCAGCCTCACATCAGAAGAGATGGACAAGCTCAGTTGCCCTGCCACCCCAGTCTCGCAACGTAGACGCGGATCCATGTCCAGCGTTGACTCGTGGGGACCTGTGCAATTGGACCTACAAGCTATGGAGACTCTTCAGCATCTCGGAAACTCGCCATCTGCTGAGCAGTACGAGGAACCAGAGCAACAGGAGTTTCAAGTGGTTGAGGCTAGAGGCGAGATGCAAGAAGTCTCCCGACCAAGTCTCGGCTTAAGCATCCCTTCAACAGTATTCGGAAACGGTTCCTCTGGTAGCACACCGATTTCCGCGCTCTCTGTCCCTTCTCCCGGTGGTTTCTTCTCATCGCTTCAATCGACTGCTCGTCACACCTGGAGTATCCCCAAGCGCGATGAGTCAATCCCAAATACTTCAACTGCTGAGAGGTTTTACAACCTTCCATGGCAGAAGGAGAACCGAAGGAACACTTCCCCACACCCCGTGCCAGCTGTACCAGCTGTGCCAGTTCTCCCGGTACGAAACTCGACTCTTGCCGGATCCACTCTCGATGGACACGATGAGCCTCTGGCGACATCGCGCCCAGTCCTCCTTAGCAGCCCAACCGATGAGAACGTGGAGATCAAGGAGATCAACCCTAGCAAGACCATCTTTCAGTATGACGAGAACTACAACGCCGGACTTCAAAAGGTGTCTACTGCTAACCTCGAGATGACCGGCCGATGGTTGGAGGAACAAGATGAGCTACAGGCCGCTCTTCGTGACATGAGCGACATTACCTCTCCCAGCCTCTCCAGCGGAACCCACAGCCGCGGCAACTCGATCGAGAAGACTGTGGTCAAGAAGTCGGTCAAGTTCGCGGATGAGCCGGCCAAGTCTCCAGTCAAGGAGTCGGCGGATGAGCCCATCACCACATACGTCCAAGGCCTTGAGTACCTTCACTCTCGGTGCCAAAAGAAGGATACGTTCATCCACCGCCAGACTCGCGCTGAGGCTATGCACGTACAGCGACGCTGCAATCCTCTCGCACATCGCGATCAGCTCCTGGGAAAGTTCGAGCTTTGCCAGCCAGAGCGCCCAGCGCCACCGCGACCTGTGTCTGAGTTCTTCGTCAATGACCCAACTGTACTAAAGGAGAGGATTGCGCGCGCACAGACGGAGCGTCAAGCGCTCGACCAGATGCTGCCCATCCACTGGGTCTTGCAAGCCCAGAAGCAACTCAACGGTGGCAAGCTTCTCAGCAAACCTGCCGCGCGATGCATCACACGCGCTAGTGCTCCACGCATCCTTGACGTTGGTGGTGTCGCTACCAACGATTGGGCGTGGGATGTTGCCTACGACTACCCATACGCTACAGTGACTACTGTCTACACTGCGGGTAACAACATGTCATCCAACGTCAAGGGCCCCGACAACCACAAGCACCTTACCGTTCCCAACCTGTGGACTCTTCCATTCCCTTCTGGTCACTTTGACGTCGTTTCGGCACGCACACTTTACGAGCTCCTCAAGACAAGCAAGCCTGTCGGCAAGTCATCAGACGAGTACGACCTGTGCTTGAAGGAGTGCTACCGCTGCCTCAAGCCCGGTGGTATTCTTGACTTCAGCCTCATGGATGCCGATGTTGTCCATGCTGGCCGTAACGCTCAGGCCATGGGCGTCGAGTTCGGCTTCAACCTCAAGACCCGCGGCTACGATGCGCAGCCTACCAAGACATTCCTCCCGCGCGTCTCCAAGGCGGGCTTCAAGGACGTTCAAAGGGCGTGGATGCTCCTTCCCATGGGAAAGACGGCAGCGAACTGGAAGGACACACTTGCTGTTGGCGCCGAGCCAAAGCACCAAGAGCGTCGCATCACAGAAGACGGCGAGATTGAGCTCGAGGACGCGCCAGTCTTTGGTACCACCATGGACGCGGCGATGTTGACAGGTGTAGTTGGAAGCTGGGCATGGGAGAGGTGGCTGCTTCGATTGCAAATGGAGATGGGCAAGGACGAGGAGAAGCTATTGGAGGGAGTCGTCAACGTGCTAGAGGAGGGCGCGACAGGCCACGCTGGATGGAGGACTTTGTCCGGCTGGGCGAGGAAGTAATGGCAACGGGATTGAACATGATGTGATACAGTTACGATGGTTTTGGGTAGACGGTGTTGGATAGGCTGGACTGGACTGGACTAGGTTGATACCACAATAGCGAATTTCCTTTGTAGATGAATTGAAGACAGTGTCTCTCACAGTCGTCATATTTGGTTGTCTGAGTGCCTGCCTATCAATGTGATGGTGATGGTGGAGTGAGAGACATGGCGAGGCGGCAGATCAGCCTCGCTCGCAGCGGCGCGAACCCCACGCGGCCCATGCGCAGCGCATAACCTCGTCACTGTGCCATATGCACCCCAAGTCGCGACCACTCGACCCAACTTGCGCCTAGCTGTATCTCCGACGTCTCTACCCCAATCCTTTTTCTCACATATACACAATGCTCTTCTTCAGGTTAGTCCCCGGACCACGCCGATTATGACGCAACAGCAACTGACAGGGCAATAGCTTCTTCAAAACGCTCGTCGAGCACGAAATCACCGTCGAACTCAAGAACGAAGTCCAGATCCGCGGAACACTCAAGAGCGTGGACCAGTACCTGAACATCAAGCTGGACAATGCAGAGGCGGTGGATGAGCTGAGGTGGCCGCATTTGGTACGTTGGTGCATCGCGACTCTCTTCTGCGTACGGACCAGACAGCGTACCAGAGAGATGGCGACATAAACTATGGGAAGAAATTGAAGCTAATTTGACGATAGTGCTCGACAAAAGACATGTTCATCCGCGGTTCCGTCGTTCGATACGTACACCTTCCTTCCGGCGCTGTCGACACCGCATTGCTCGAGGACGCGACAAGGAGAGAAGCTGAGGCGGCGAAGAACAAGGCGAAATGAGAAAGGAAGGATACCAGGTGCTAGGATAACGCGTGATGAAGCGACCGTTCGTGCGGCAACATGAGGAGGGCAACGCGCGCGTGGGCGGACGCAATGTGACATGACAACCCACGGTATATAAGAGCGTGGCCAAGCGCAAGAGTTGAAATTCTGGACCGGGAGCAAGCGGAGAGGTTGCGCAAGCACGAAGAGCGCTTGCAGAGCTGGTGATGTGAATATACCCTTGAAGAGAGTGAGGTGACATCCTCGCCTATCTTTGTTCTCGTTCTACTTTTCTACTCTCTGTTCGACTCGAATCGTTTGCACGCCCTGCTTCAATTCCTCCCTAGCTCACGGGACATGAGATTGCCCCTTCAGGCTCATATTTGACATGGCCGTCGACATCAAGTTGCTTTTCCACATACGTGCGTTCCTCCTTCATGTTACCTACCCACAACTATACCATTGAACTTTCAACATCACGAACGAGCCTTCTCTTTTGTCGTCCATGTCGATTCCCCGGTGCATTATTTCTCGTACAGTCTCTATCTCCAAGAGACGAATCACTGCTCTGTGTGCGATTTGATACTTTGGTTGCCATCCACTCCATCCACTGGTACTGCGATAAGGCAGGGCGACGACAAGCCACTTACGACCCCCACAATACATCACCATCCCACACACAAAGATACTCCTCAAATGAGAGAGATCGCAATGATCAGACCCTAAGAGACGAGGCCGCACGTGTCTCCCCTCGTTTTCACCTTTTTCGTAGCAAACGAAACATGTCGCGCAGAAATTACGCTCACCCACAGTCCTGTCCACTGGCAAATTGCGCAACCTTATGACTCTGTCTACCCCCAAACAACAGCAACACCGCAACCGCTCTTCCGCCGGTTAACAACGTCCACGCACACACTTTTAAAAGTTCTCAGTTCAGTGCCTTCGAAACAATACACCACGCAACGAATATACTCGCAAAAGCGACGACGCCCTCAACAATCATGGCGCCCATCTCCTACCCATCTTCCACTTCCCCAGCCACACCAGCGCCTTACCTGCACACCCGCTCCACACTCTCAGCCTTGACCTCCGAAACCCTGACCCCAACAGCCATCGGCCTCATATGCGTAGTCGGCACCATCGGCATCACCATCTACATCATCAGCGCCATCATCTATTTCCGCACCAAACCAATCAGCCTCCCCAGACTGTTCCGCACGGGCGCGCACACCGACGAAGAGAGCAGCACGGACGGCAGGAAGACAGCCATATCCATCTGGGAGCGAGGCGTACCACTATACGACAGAAGTGGTGTTACGACGACGGCAAACTCGGCGTTTGGAGACGTGTATCCTTCTGAGGGTGTTGCGGTGAATGCTGGGCTGGAGAGGGAGATATTGGAGATTCTTGAGGCGGAGGCGGAGGTTAGGGCTATGTCGAGGGTTGTGGGGAGGTATTGAGTGGGTGGAGAAGGGAGTGTTTGTGATGGGAGGGTGTTGGGTAGTTTTGGAGATGATGGGCACGAGCGTTAAGATGTGAGTGTTCAGCTGGTTTTGTCATGCGCTGGGATTTGACCGACCGAGGTTTAAGTTGTGCTTGCATGTACGTTGCCCGAGTGTTCAAACTTTGTGCTCGCTATCTTTTTGTACTTCCGGTGTCTACCAAATGAGAATTACGATGAAACGGGAAGAAGCAGCCGGGGCAAGTCACCAGTGATTGGTGTCACACCCAAATACTGTCCACAACCCTGCCTTCTTGTATACACTCAGAAGATCAATCGTGCCTCTTCCATCCCTCAGTATCTAGGCCCAAGGATCTTCCCGCACAACAACCTCAATAGTCTCTTTCCTACCCCCAAGCATTTCGTTCCTCTTCGGTTTGAACTTCATCCATAACCGCTTCCTCAGCGACTTCTCATCCCGCCTCTCCTTCTTCTCTTTAACAAGCTTCTGCTTCACTGCCTTCACATCCTCCTCCTCCGACGAAGAGCTCCAATGAAGAGTCGGCGCAGTGTTGACGCGCCACGCCTGAATGCGCTCTTCGCGCAAGGGTGAGACATTGCGTCTCTTTCGCAGAACGTTTCTGGTGTGCGGCTGCGTGGTCTCTAGAGATTGGAACAGTGAGGTCGCTGCTGTTGTGGTGAGAACGAGTGTCGCGACGAAGATGAGCGCTGCTTTGGCGACTATACTCAGGCCGCGCTCGTTGTGTGATGTGGAGAGTGCGGTGAGGAAGCGGGTGATGAGGAGGGAGAGGAGCATGCATGGGAGTACGAGCCATGCGGATGGCTGGGGTTGCGACATGGTGGAGAGAAGTGAGGTGTTGGTGCGCAGCAACAAGGCACCTTAATCGAAAGTTGGCTTGTGAGAAGGCTCATAAGCTCCAAGGTAACTGCGTTAGTCTTGCGGTTTGGTAGAAATCGGATTGGGCGGAGCTAACGGCGGGAGTGTTTGGCTTCTGGTTCATTCACTTCTTAGTATCGATTACTTTGGTAACTGAGGAATCAAAAACGCTCATATAATTTTCACATGTTGCTGTCTTCTCTCACAGTTCGCTTCAAACTTTTGCAATTAGGCAGGTTACCTAGGTACTTTTCAACCCATTTATTCGCATTTGTTGCATCTGTTTCACCTTTTACTTCGCACCCATTCTGTTCCAAGTCTTCCAGCTTTCTGTTAAGCGCCATACGTGAATTATGACGTCGCTGGATGGAGTAGACGCGCGATTACCGTTTGCCTCGAGGCCTCCAAGGCTGCCGCAAAAAAGAGGGTGGAGACGTTTGTGACCCTGGTGCATCTGCCATACGATGAACCAGAAGTTCACCGATATTATAGCATGGATGAACCAGTAGAGGATCTCACTTAGAGCTGGTACGAGCATGTTGAGTTTTTTTGGGGTTGCAAGGAGTCGCGTGTAAGAAAGCTGTTTTTTAGGGTGGTTGTATAGGGAGACTACACTGTGAAATCATCGGCTGTGATTACACCAACGCGGTACTATGGAACATACAGCGGTTGCCAGTAAATCAGCTTTTGCTGAGCTGAAGTGAGGGCAGCGGCAAGTGTGTACACACTGTGCCTGCCCGCTAACAAAGTCGTCGTTTACTTCTTCGTACCTAGACAGACCAGGACACCACTCACATCATCGCATCTCTACTCAAACAGCCGCGCCAGTTTCCCACCAGCTACCATCATGGAACTCTACATGCCAATCTCCATCTCAAAGCACTTCGTTGCCTACTTCCTTCCTCTCGCGGCCTCCATCGCAATCTCCGCGCTAAACTACGCCGGCCTCACAAAAGTCCCACACATCTTCATAGTTATCGCGAGCCCGGCTCTCCTCATCCTTCAGCCAATCTGGGAAGAAGCTCATTTCTGCGAGTTGGAAAGACAGAACGAAGAACTGAGGGCTAAGAACATACGTCTCAGAGCGCAGTTGATGGCATTCGAACACGCGATTGAGGAGCTGGAGAACGAATCCGACGACTTGGATGACAAGGCTAAAATCTTGGCCAGGATAGAGAAGATCAAGGCACTACAGGAGGAGTTTAGGAAAACAATTGGATGATAACAGGATTAGGAAGGAGGATGGGCAGTGAGGAAGAGTGATTCGAGGTTGGCCAGGGTGTAGAGACGTCGTGTTGTTCATAGAGCAAAGTTCCATGTTGCCAATCCAAATATGGACTTGGCTTGTGTACGCTGCGTCAATTACTATCTGTATTGTGATGTGTGACTTGAGCACGTGAAAGATGTGTGCCAGCATGAGCCCAGTCAATCTCAGACTGTTCATAAGACGTCTATACATCTATGTCTGCTCATAATCCTACTCGCCTCGTAACCTCCAAGGCCGAGGAATGTGCTCGCGGCTAAATCACCGGGATGTTACTGTGAAGGCACATCATCCTGCGTACCCATTCGGGCATCTTGGCCATCGAAACTTGTTTTCGCCTGGACGGACAGCGAAATCACACCCTCCGCCAGCGATGCACCTGTGGTGAGGTCGGAATTGACTTTGTGTACGACATTAGCCTGCAGGAACATGCTATATCCAACACGACGCTAATGATCGACGCAGGGATAGCGTACGCGCCGCATGCATGTGCGGTTTGCATATTGCCGGACAACATCAATATTGTGAACAGCCGAGGCTTTCCTCCTTGGGCGACCAGTCATGCCGGTGTCCGTCGGAGGGATGATGCCATGTTCGTAGGAATACGGTGTACGGTGTGCGGGTGTGGCGGAGATGATGTCTTGGTGACGCCGATGCAAGAAGAGCCGATATCGTAATATGACTTTCGTCCAGACAAATCATGGCGGGGAATCTACTCGCAAGTCGAAAGCATCTTCTTCAGCACGCCCATCAGGGTGCCGTTCTCGAGGGCAGCGGCGACGCGCTCCTTGTCGCCCAGCTGCTTGTTGACCTGCTCGTCGGTGCTGTGGGTGCCCTTCTTGATGCGGACATCGACGCGGAAGCGCGGAGGTAGTGCCTGTTCGAGACGGACGCGCACGCCCAGGCCGATGACGGTGGCCAGCGAGCAGTGGGTGATGGTCGGCGTGATCTCGACGACGACGGTGCTGATGCTCGAGAGCGGTGAGGAGGGGGGCAGAATGTGGATGTCTGGCAGGTTGACGACGGACAGCGAGCCGAGGGACAGCGGGTGTTCAGGGTCGCAGATGGTGGAAATGAGGTCTGTCATGCGCGGGGTGAGCCAAACGTTAACGCCATCGAGGGCCCGCGGGCGCGCCTACCGTAGATTTCCTGTTCGTCAATGTCCTCACGTGCGTCGTCGCTGTCTGAATCGCCGGCTGAGACGCTGTCGTCGAAGGGGTCGCTGAGGTAGTTGTAGCGCGGTATCAGGTTGTCGAACAGGCCGGTCCCGCCGTCATCGCGCCTCTTTGCCGTCGCGTCGCTGCGGCGGGAGGGCAGATCCGAGGGATTCAGGATGGTCGGGTTGGCGTTGTCCTTGTCGAGCTCCATGGCGGCGGTTGGCAGGGGTCGCGGCGTCGTGGTGTGATGGTGGCGGAGGGAAGGAGCCGTCGTGGGCTCCTGCCTCTCCAGCAAATCTGCGAGGAAGGCGCGCCCGGGCCACCAGCAGCCCCTCCTCGGTGTTCGTCATCTAGCATGTGCTAGCCAGCCAGACACTCGGAACATGTCACCCGCCTGCACCTTCACCCTCACCACCACCTCCACCACCGCCGCTGCCCCCGGCCATGCCCGCCGCCTTAGCAATTGCTCTGTAAGCCCTCAATTTCCCGCAGATTATCCGCGACATACAGGGGACACTTGTGTGGGGTGCACCGTTCACACCACAGCACCAGGGCACCCGTGTGTTTGACTAGTGTCTGCAGCTTCGTGTCATTCCATCACGCCGCCGGGGTATACAGTTCGTGGCCTCCTGCCTGCTGCCGTTCTGCTCGGCCAGCCTCGGCAAATCCCCAGTGCGCATCCAGAAGGTGAGAAACAGCGCGGCTGGCGACTGCCCTTGGGCTTCAACCCCATCGGCAGCCGACGCTTCCGGCTGATCCACCACCTGCTCACCTCCCAAGCTCGCGCGCCCATGGTGATCGTGTTGACGACATGTTTCTCACTAATCACTCCCAATGGCAGTCTCGTCCCAACGACCTGTGTCGGCTCCTCCCGCACTTGTGCCTTCATAACGGAAGTGCTGCCTCATCCGGCGTACGACTGACCGCGCTGCTGGATTGTCCCTGCTTTGCTTGCCGTGTTCCTGAGCTGCAGGGAGATCAACGGCAGTGATCAGCGCAGCATGACTGATGAGGTCAGTATCGTGTTATTTTACCACGCGCGCCACGGAAACCACTGCTTCTATCGACCTTCCAAAGGTCGACGGTAGCCTGGCGCCAGCACCTGTCAGTCATGGCACCATCCCGTCTTGCTCCATACAAAGCACCCCTTGGCAACGCCCGTCGTGTCTCTGCGTGATCGAAGCTAGCACTCGTAACCTGACTGCGCCTTGACTGCCATCGCCATCACCATCATACCACCTGCGTGGTGGGGAACTAATCTTTCAGCTGCCTTGTCGCCTGCCGCGCGAGAGAGAACGCGACCCGGCAACATGGTTGACAGATTACAACAGCCCTTAAAGAAAGGGATTTTCGACCCTAACTTTAGCTCTCCATGCAATCTTCGGTCGTTCTTCATGTCATGCAATCGCCAGTGGCGGACGAAAATACGATCCATGCGCCGGATCGAAGCCCTCGACAAGTCCCCTCAGCTACGTTTCGCTTCGCGGCCGCAATATCTCGTATTCGGCTCATGCAAATGCTATGCCGTCTGTCTGTGCATGCTACCTACATATTCGAGAATCTTGTTAGCCCAACTGAGGGTAGCATCTGGAGTAATATTGTTTCATGCGGGCTACGCTGATGGTGATGCGTCTGCCGTTAGAACCTTGCCTGCACATGGCCCTACCAAGCTTCCGCACGAATCAATTCGCCGATGTGTCGTGCTCAACGACACACACCGGTTCTGCCGTAGCCTTTGCGGCATGCGACGGGATCCCGTCTGCCCAACCCATGCAAAGTCTCGAGTGAACGTCGAGTCTGCGGCCATGGAGATGCCACCGATCAGAGCGGCACATCAACGAGGCCAAAGCGCGGCGTCGAGTAGTGGACGCCTATCCTCATGCTGCCTCCAGCCAAGTCTCTTCCGCGACTATGTGGACAAGACTTGTTTCGCTTTAGCTCCTGGCAGGTTGTGCAGCGTCCTACCAGAGCCATCTGTGTACCCCTATCTAGCCAGCTATAGTCGTACACCTGCTGTATTATATGTCGGCTAAAGCATAATATTCGTCATCGAGGCTAGCAGCCGGAGATCACTTTCTAGAAGGCCCACCTGTCATTGCGGTGACACTGCCAGACCATGTCTCAAACATTCAGGCACCTAAGGCTGTGCGAGATGAGAAACTAGGTACGACTATGAACCGACTAAATGCATGCGCAAGGTTTTCGACATTGTCCAGCCCTATCACGGCCAGGTCCGGGCTGCTGCAGTCTACTGGTCACGTCTGATCTTCTTTTTCTGGGCAATCCAGCAAATGCAGCCGCCACCAGAGCCTCGCAACAGCTTGCGTACTCGGTCCGCTGAAGTTTTTTACTTTGCCTTGAAGTCTGCTGAGTGAGAATGCCGCCATGTACCACCGTCTTCTCAGCTGTCAGACTTTGCCCCCGCTGATTTTATAGCAATCGTTCCCGGCCCATGGCAGTGCTTCGAGGAGGTCCACACTACCCGTCGTTCTACGTGTTACGATTCAGGCCGTCTCCAACGGGCACCACTATCCCTGCTGCCCATTGCCTCACACCCCCACAGCACGGCAGTTCCCTGTGCCCGCAGCATCTTGGTAGCGGACGCTTGCGCTCACGCGCGTGCAGCTTGGGCGCCCATACCAAAGGCGCTACTTGTGCAGCAGTGCGGCTCCTGGATCCTGCACGCTTAAGTCGCATATCGTCTACCCCTCGCCCGCCTATCGACCCCTTCATACACGGCCAACCGCCTAGGACCACAATACTCTCGCCTTTCAGGAGATCCATACACTGCGACGCCACTATTGTGCGCGTGAGCCACGCTGCGAGCCCGCTGCCAGTGCGTCTTCGAAACCCCGGTATGCCAGACATCGTCTCCACCTACCATCCCTATGCGCCTTCTGCCCTGATCTGCCGTATAACCTAACGACGCCGCGGCGTCGCGGAGATTTCCCTTGCGCTATAGCATTCTACAGTGCATCTATTCTCGATTTCGCTTTCTTTGTGTATAGTTTTGGCCATTCCGCGATTTCTTCCGTCCGCCGACCCTCAGGACATTCTGGACCGTCATCGCGCGCCGCTACCATTGGCTGCACACCGACCACCGCACACAACCTCATCGACTTAGTGGATAGCCGACAACCCCGCTGCTTGCAACCATTGCGCAAGGCCTTGCGCTGTCACTCCGGACCGGCTCGTGGTAGCTATTAACGTTATGCCCCCGGAGACCACTGGACGGCCACTGCTGCCACAAACGGCGCAAATGCAGAGCTTCACCTTTGCGCCGCCCACGCTGGCACCGCGCGAAAACCAGCGCAGTGAGTCCACACGCCGCTCAGCGTCTTGGGGACAAGGCAGCTGACAACATCTCCAGATTATGTATTCGTAGACGAACACAATAGACACAAGCGACTGAAAGGTATGGAGGCACGTTTTGACTTGACATGCAGATGCTAATACAGAGCAGTAATGAGAGCATGCGAAGGATGTCGTAGACGCAAAATCAAGTGCGACGCGGCAACAACGAATGCATGGCCCTGTGCTGCTTGCATTCGTCTGAAGCTTAACTGTGTGCCGCCTACAGTCAGCTATGACAAGGACTACAACGGTTCGCAAACATTTGACCTGGAGCCCAAACCGCTCGAGTATGCCCCGGACCCATCTCCTCAACATGACTATCAGCGCCATCCATCCATGTCGCAGGCCATGTCTCACCAAATGCCGCCTTCCATGCCGACTACCCAAGGCATGTACCAACCTTCGCCCTACGTGGACCAACAGTCCCAGGAGTCGTGTCATTATCAACCCATGTCTCAGCCCCAGGTCATCCAGCAAACCATGAGCTACGCGCCTCAGCATGGCTACTCACAACAATCCTCTGGCCCGCCTGCGATCCTGACTCCACCGGAATCGGAACCCCATTGGCGAAGCGACTCTGTATCTAGTCTATCCGAGGCACTGGGTGAACTCAAGATCGACCATACAGCCATTGGTGAGCTTCATGGCATCTTGCTGCAAAAACATCAAGCTAACTAGTCTAGCCCCATACATCACTAACATGAAGAAGGCACTGGCCGAAACACCCGCACAAGAGGAGTACGAGGTCGTACTACCAGCTTCTGTAAGCCTCGATCATACGGTCCGCATACCACCGGAGATGATGCCTGATGATGATCGGGCAATGCATTACTTTGACTACTTTTTCGCCAACGTTCACCCATATTGCCCCGTCATCAACAAGGCCTACTTCTACCAGCAATGGCACAGCGCTCCGGACTCCATCTCTCCACTCATGCTAGAGTCCATCTTTGCTTGTTCTTCGTTAATGCTGGGTGACTCAGAGGAGGGCAACAAATGGCTGGCCCTTGCCACAAGTCAGTAGCGCCCTGTATTGACAAAAAAATGATTACTGACAGATTACAGAGCACGAGGAGAGCTTCAAAGACGTGTCCCGCTTGAGTACGATGCAGGCAATGATTCTATTGCTGAAAGCTCGTGAAGCTTCACCAAAGCGAGGTTACTTTTGGCGTTCTTGGATGGCGACTGTCAGCCTTGTAGCCATGGCGAAGGACCTCGAATTACACGAACATTACGACACCCACCAGATGGGCAAATCATGCGGATCGACAGTACACGACTGTGTTGCCAAAACGAGGGTATGGCAGATGTGCATGGTCTTCGAGGTCATGATTGGCGGTCCTCAAGGTATGTTGGTTTTGAAGAAGGTACTTGGAGATGCTGACTTCTATAGGACGCTATGACTTTGGTGTTACCACTGATACCGTAGACTTGGAGATGCCCAGACATATCGCAGGACAGGATCCTTCCGAGCTTCAGATTGCGCGTCAATTCGTACAATACGCCCGTATTGTTAAGAACGTTCACCACTCGGCCCTCGTGTACGGAAGACTCAGGAAGAAGAACCCGGACTGGGCACTGGATCCAGCATTTGTTGGCCACAACACCGACTTTTCCCTCTGGTTACGAGAGCTTCCTGAGGACATGCAGATTGTGTACCCCCAGGATGGCTCTGCTCCTTGGATCCCATCCCATCAGCTGGCGAACATGCACGCCTATCACTGTTTGGCCATCATTATGCACTTCCGCCCGCAACTACATGCCGTATCAGAGTCATATGATGGTATATGGAAGCAGCATATGCTCACATGCTACTCGGCCGCCAAAAACCTATGCAAACTTCAAGAGGCGATTCTC